TCACATTATGGAAGTTTTCACGTTTTTTTAAACCTTTCAAACCCGCTGAAGCTTGCATTGAAATTTTGGTCATAGTTGTCACCCTCTTTCTTCTTTAAATCTTCGAAAAGACTGCGCGGTTTTGTTTGGATGTTCACGAGACTTAGTGAAACATTCTTTTGTAATAATTCTTCCAAGTCTTTAAACATTTTTCCATTTCATGTATGGGACCATTTCGTTTTCTTCTGATGATGGTTGATTTTATTGATGCCGATCTCTCTACTGTTTCACGAATTCGTTCTTTATTATTAGTGATGTAACGAATATTCGGTTACTATTCGGTATTCGGCCGAATACCTAAAAACAGGAGTAATAAATAACAAAAACACAGTAAATTATTCATTTTGGTATTTAGATTTAATGTTGTCGGGTTAGTGTTGTTTGTTTGTATTTATTTATAACTTGTAACATGCACAAAATAAAAAAGAAAATAATATTAGTCACATGTATTGACAATTTATAATTACAAAGATCAGCACACGTACACGTCTATCGTTGGAGAATCGTCGCACATCCGAGGGTCTGACCCTGCCTATCCTTCTTTTTAAGCGCTCGTCTTTGCTCTTCCCTTTCTCTTTCCTCTATCGCTCTAATCCATGTATGCCTATGCATACATCATAATACGCGCTCACGATACTTTCGATTCGTCACTTTTCCGTCGTAGAGTTCCCATTTTACAATTACGTGACTCAGCCTGGTGATAACGGAGAAAAGAGACAGATAGGACGTCGATATAAGTCACAGTTATGATTTCACAGATTCGAGACAGCTTGATAGCCCGAACGGCCCCGGGCTTTCGCCCGTGCACGCTAAGTGACTTTCATTACAAGCATTTAGCTTTCCGAAGTCTATGACAATTGTTTGGCATTGACGGCCGCGAATTTCGTGCCAATAAGCTGCCTCGACTTGTTCGATTATGTTATCAACTCAATTTCATATTTATTTTCACATTTTCACTTCGCGGTCCTTCTCTGTTCTTTTTCCGTTATTTACACGTGTAGGTCATTTCATTGTTATTTACATTTGATATCATCATTTATCACATACTTCCATGACACTCTTGTCTGTCCGCTACAACTGCCAAGAATTAACGCGATTGGCGAAGCGTAGTGACAGCGGGCCAGTAGAGAGCAGGATCCTTGCCATAATGCGGTTTGCGCGCCAATTTTAACGCATTAACGCACGTACAATTTTCGTACGTGCGTTAATCGAGCCGAATAGTTTGGCCGAATATTCGGCTATTCGGCCACGCTCCTGGCCGAATATACTATTCGTTATAACACTATTTTACTTGAAACGGTTGAATGCGACAATTTATGTTCACGTGACAAGTTTGACACTGTTTTGCCGCGTTCGTGCTGTTTTATTAATTTTATTTTCATCCCTAAGTCTATTGTCTTTTTCTATTATTGGTTTTACCAGCCATTTTGGGATAAAATATCACAAATCAATGTAAAATAGAATTTCCAATTTACACTGCGAGTAAACTGCTAATAACAAAACAATTAGCCACCTTACACAAACACACATAGAAGGTAACTAACTACACAAAACTAAATGACGTAATCAATTGAAGACGCGTGCAAGATAATATATGTATATGATATATATTTGACTAAAACTATAAAAAACTGATACATTTTTTTTTGAATCTTCGTAACTCGAGAAGTTACTGTACGTAGCCTATATACAGGGTGTATTTTTTATCTTGGGACAATGAAATATCTTAATTGGATCTCATTAATTTGGAAAAAGGCATAGACAAAAGTTGTAGGGTGTCCAGGGGGCAAACAATTGGTGACCTCCGACGTGACCTTGACCTCCAAATGACCTTGAAGGTCAGTCAAGTGTGTTTTTTCAATGGGAACACACATTTTTGACCCCGGAAATGGAAAGAGCAGGAAACTTTCATTCAGATATACCCTTAATCTTAAGGTCTACGTCAAAGGTCAAGATTATTTTAAGGTTAAATTTAAAAGCTTTTACTAATGGGAAACCATACTTTTTATTACTGGAATAGAGGTAAATTTTACATTTACATGGAAAGGCAAAAAATTTCACAATCAGCTGACCTTAAATTCGACCTCTGAAGGTCATCTCAAGCTTGATAATTTTAAGTGCAGCTCAACAAATGCATCATTTTGAATATTTGTTATAAAATTTTCCCCAAAACCAATATCTCAAGCAATGGTGAGAAGTAAAGTGACTCATAAAAACATGCACCCCAATAGTGAAAGGCAAGGTAACTAACTGAAAATAAGCACCTTAAATAAAGGGTGCAGAAAAGTACAATGTTCACATTGTTATTCTTGGGTAATGCTAAAAGTAGTGAATGCTTTAGGAATAAAAGTGAAAGTAATAAGGTTGTGACAAAAATGTAAATTTTACCTCTCTGTCTACTCCAGTAATAAAAATATGGTTTCCCATTAGTAAAAGCTTTTAATTTTAACCTTAAAATAATCTTGATCTTTGACGTAGACCTTAAGATCAAGGGTATATCTGAATGCAAAGTTTCCTGCTCTTTCCACTTCCGGGGTCAAAAATATGTGTTCCCATTGAAAAAAACAGACTTGACTTTGACCTTCAAGGTCACGTCTGAAGTCACCAATTGATTGTCCCCTCGACACCCTATAACTTTTGTCTATACCTTTTTCCAAATTAATGAGATCCAATTAAGATATTTCATTGTCTCAAGATAATAAAAAGTACACCCTGTATATATATTTTGTTATATAATTTAAGCATATTTAAACACATACTTGTGAATGTCAGTTAACACAGTTTTTATTAATTAATTAATTAGACTTAAATTCAATTGCCGTCCGTACCTAAAAACAGAAATAGTATTTTCCCGGACACGCATGGAAATTAATTTAAATTGCAACGTCATCAATGATTGTCGTCGTAACGTCTAATGACCCGGCGCCACTAACATCTGAATCGGTAGTCCTGTTGACTTTCTTTTATACAGGACGGATAGGGAGTTAGTTGACTGTCCCTGTAACAAAGTAGAAAGATGTATCGTAATATTCTGAAAATGATACCAGTATTAATAATTAGGAATTTAAATGAGCATTAATTGTTTAAAATTGTAATGTCTCTAGCCTATTATTAATTGGATTCAGTCTCACATTTTGTTAGAATTGTTTCATTTTTAAATTTGAAAATAAGAATTCTGTGTAGGCAAAGTGTTTTCTGTGTTTGACTTAAAAATTTCTTTTATATTCTTAGATTCTACTGAATTTTTTAAATGAACAATTTCCAAGACTTAATGCATTTAATAAGAATATTGAATTTGAAAATAACTAATCGATTATATCTTCCAAAATGTAACAAGAGGGTGGCATGACTTTGGGGTGACCGATTCTGATCAAACTTGGTGAGGCTATAGTGCATCCCTAATGACTGACATGCCAAGCAGTACGGCACAATACTCAAAATTAACTGAGAAATTGAGGTTAAAAATTGCAAATCACTTAGAATTTCCACATTTAGAGACTGGTGACTCGAATCTCGTTAGTAAAGTTTAATTTCTTTTCCCCTAAAACTAAATTTTCACTTTATTCTTGGTTCTTTTTTAATTTATTATATTTATTAAAAATTATTTTCAAATATTCATGTATATCTGCGATTCATACTAGCATTTATTTATAATTTATTTGAGAAGACGATAAAATGTAAACAAAATCATCATTACCATAGGCCAATTTTGTTAATAAAAGTGTAGTTTTTATTAACATTATTCAATCTATTGGCTTTCTGGAAGCACAGTTTTGTGGATGATAATTGTTGTAGAAGCATGTGAAACAAACATTTCTGCAGTGTGCGCATTGAATATATGCAATTTTTCCTATGAGATTTACACATATCGCTGGAAAAACAAACTTGATTAATATTTAAAAACACTTCTCCATCATGAACTAATTTGCAGGAATCATGCGTACTGTATCACATTTGAAAATATCCGTGCTTAATGTTTTTTTTCTACCGACTTCACAACTTCCGAACTTGCAGAGAACCCTCTATGTAAATTTTGTGCAGTGATTCTTCTGCAGAAGTCATTTCTATGCTATTGATATTAGCATGAGATATTAAAGTCATCTTTTTGTTCTCTAGCAAATGAAGACACAATTATAAGTATATTTAGGTTAAACAATGACTTTGTTGCCAGAGTAAATACATTCTGTACACAAATAAACAGAAAACGTTTTGTTTTGTTTTTAAATAAATATTGTCAGGTAGCATTTATTAATTGCTTTTGACATCAACTTGTTTCTTGAAACAGATGGATTTTACTGTTTTATTATCTTGTTTATTGTGTGCATTTGTAGTTTTCTAAATATAAATCAATTTTCTCTCTGACAATATAATAAATTAAAAAGTACCAAGAATAAAATAAAAATTAGTTTTTTATGGAGAAAAAAACTAACTAAACACTAATGAGATTCGAAACACTAACCTCTATGATTACAAATCCAGTGCACCCCTAGCTATGGCCACTTGGTTTGATACTCCAAGGTGAAAATTGCAAATTACTTAACCATAAATTTTCTCGTTTGAGTGTTGTAACTTATTGGGGATGCAATATATCCTCACTGAGTTTGATCAAAATCAGAAATCCCATCATCATGCTGTTCCCAGGTAAATTGATTAAATTCTGTAAACAAAAAAATAAAAATTCTATCAATACCAACTTAAATATGATGATACTTCACAAATTTAACTAATGAGAATTGTAAAATCAATGGAAAGCTTGATTACTAAATGTAATTAAAGGCAAGGGAGAAATTTTTGTTTATATATATCATGTATAGATAGATAGGCAAATGTAAATAACATATCAATAAACAAACATTATTCTAATTATTTATCTTAATGTGCCTATTAAATTAGCAATTGAAACTGAAATAATATCAGTTATATAAAATACAGTAAATTATCTATTTTAAAGTAAAATTGATTTTATTTCAAATGATGATAAATTTCAGATTAATTATTAAAGACATGTGGTTTAAAAAATGAGAATTCTGTTGCATTGGAAAATATTTTATCTATTACAAACATTTATTGTGGCAAATAAAATACTATTTTGCCAAGAAGTTATGCTTCTTTGGAAATCCATGGGGTTGCTCCAATTATGTACTTTCTTTTGTTGCAATTCAACGAGAGGAACTGGAACTGGAGCGGTCGTCTCTCCTCCTGCGAATGGGTGATCTTGTCCTCGAACGGGATCTTGAGTGTCTTCTGGGCGATCTGCGCCTCGGGGGAGATCTTCCAAAATGATGAAAACTGAAAAATAAAATTTCCTATTTATTTTTGAATAGTATCAATAAATTTAAGGTAATTTTTAAATCTATTTAACAAATCTATTTGTCACATATATTTTTTATTCACCGGATTACTTTTTGGTTACTTTGACTTTTTGTACCAACCAGAAATGAAAGGATGATGCACAACGTAAAAAAAGCAGAGTTTTTATGACCAAGTTTCTCAAGCAACTTTATTTTTGTTTATTAACAGTAAAATTTGTGCTATAGTGTGAGTAGCACATCTGAGTAAAACTGAATCTTTGGTAGCTGCTCAGCCCATGCTTTAAAAGCTGCCTGAAAATCAATTTTCACAAAGTGACCTTTTTTGCAGACTGCTCTGCGGCTATTTGCCACTCAAATCACCAGATTATAAAAGTAATCAGATGAATGAATTTTTCACAAATTGCAAATTTGGCAACAAACAGCTTAATCCCTGATATATATTTTTATTAAGAGGATTTGGAAAATAAGATAGAATTTTGTAAACTAACCCTAAGCAATAATTAAAAAAAAAACCAGAAAAGATTTGCTATAACATTGTCAACATAAATTGAACAACGACATTCAAGCTTTATAAAGTAGCAGCCATAAAGATGCACTTTCACAAGTTAGCGAATCAACTCAGTCACAAATAAACCAACAATTCAATTCAGAAGATCAACAAAATTGAATCAAGTCTGAGTTAAAAAACGTTTAACTTTTGCATTCAGTTGTGTACACGGTGCATACCAGAATTAGGTACTGTTTCTCTCTAGTGGGGTTGCAGCAAACTATGTAAGATGGTCCTTGGTGAAGGCTTGTTCAAATTTGTCCCAAGTCACTTGTGAAGTTTCAGCGAGCAGCAGATGCTGAGTGAAAAAAATCCCCAGGAACTTTTCGGCAGTGGACAGTCCCTCACCACCAGCCGCCCTACTGTGAAGATGGCCGAACCCATAATGGGCTTGCTAAAAGTGGCACTCTTAGTGCCCACAGGCAGAAAGGTTTTAAAGAAAAAAAGCATTACATATAAGTTTAAATTATATTTTGAGTTCACTGTAAACGATTTAATAAAAAATCTAGCTTAGTTGCCGCAAACAGTAATTAATTTTAATAGTACACAAACTCTAATTAAACACTTTATCAAAACTTTAGCTATACAAGTAGTAAAAGCCTGATAATTCCTAAATTCATGCCAATTCAGTAGTCAGACTTAATATAAAGATCCTATCAAGGTTTATCATCTATAACAAATCACAGATATATAACCACAGCTACATGTAAATACCAATAAACTAGCAAAAATTAAATATCATCAAACAAGAACAAATATTTTCTTTCATTTTAAATGGTCATCCTCAGATTTAAAGAATGCAGATATAAACAAATGCATTTTCTAAAAAATAGAACATAAATTTAAAAATTGTAAACATTGCAATAGACATGTATATATTTTGCAACATTTAACATTGTTTTTTAATCCCGATAATACTTTTATTTTATTTTGTAAAATGTTTTTTTTTATTTATACGTCTTAATTCAAGATTTACGAGAGGTCACAGAATGCCCTCCACACTGTCAAATGCGAGACCATCTCCTTATAATTAATTGCCATATCCCTTCTGAAGGCCTTCAATATTTCTAATTGTTCAAGATATTTTGGGCTGGCTGATGTCAGTGGTGTAATGTGCGGGAGTTATCGAAACTAACATGAATGTTGTCGTCATCTGCAAAATTAGTGTGGATATGGTGAGCCCCTTTTAAATCATACACAGGTTGTCTAAAAAGAAACTGAACTTTTTCTTTAGAAATATAACTACAGTTGTCCCTCGATAATCCAACAGGTATGGGACCAAAGGGGTGTCAGATTACCAAAAGTGTCCGGATTACCGAAAATAATTACATATTTCGCATTGTTTTGCTAGCAGTAACTTACAATATTCTCTACTCCAACTGTTCGAACAGAACTGCTCACATAAAACACACGAAATGTGTGTCATCGAGTAAGAATTGGATGGGGAGATTCACATTGCGACATGCTTCTGTGTAAGCAGACACGTAACGGGGATGGGTACCTTGACGGGAGGTTCGGACTACTGAGCATGTCGGATTAAAAAACGTCGGACTATCGAGGGACAACTGAAGATGGTGCAACTAGCATTAACGATCAAATTCAAAATTTTGAATGTTATATTATCAATCGTATGAAATGTAAAGGATATTTTGTGACCCTCATCAGAAAATTGCAATGGAGCAATGTGCCAACATTAAGTTAAAACTAAATAAAAAATTTTGGTAAAAGTTAAGTTACTGAAACAAGTATACTGGGATGATTACCTAAGCCAGACACAGGTTTATGAATGGTTTCATCGATTCAAAGATGGCCGAAAGTCAATTGAAAACAATCCAAAAAGTAGTCGTCCAAAGACATTGACTATGGACAGTAACATTGATAAAGTGTGACAAATATTAGGAAACAATTCGAATATGACCTTCGATGTTCAATCTAACTTAAATATCTGCTTTAGTTTTCCCACATGCCACTTTTTTTGACATTTTCACACCTGCTAACAGTACTACAATTTCACATAGCTTTGTTTTGGGCAACTCTAATTATCAAGTTTAATGGTTTATAGCAACCAAATAATGAATACATAAATATGAGGAAGCCATATTATATTGTGTTCAGTATGTCTGCTCTAAATTTCAACGAAGTTTGATTCATGAAACAAGAAAAGAAGTCAATAGACTAGATGTGGAGAATATGCAGTCTAATTATATAATATTGACATGAAAAGCCTTAAGGCTTTTCATGTCAATATATCAATAATAGAGTAAAGTAACACATCCAAAACATCTATCACGTGTGAAATTTTTGTCCTTTTTCAAAAGACATTTTTCAGTGTAATATGAAACTCTGGGATAGAAAGAACAAGAAGATTGAAATTGGAAGCAAACATATTGAACATATGGCAATATACTTAATATCACTCAAATATTGATTTGAATGATATTGAGTACAAAGTATAAAGTTTCATGTGCTATTACAACTAAATGAAGTATGGACGTTGTGTCCATACTTCATCATTTAGTTGTAATAGCACATGAAACTTTATGAGCAAGAATTAAAGATTTAAAACATATTACAAATAACCACATTAATTAAAATTATTTCAAATATTAATTTTTAAAATTAGATATTGTAATTAGTGTGTGGTGAATGCAAACATATATATATATAAAATTTTAAATCATCATAATACACCTCCCACCCCACATACCTTCTTCGGTCACGTTCTCTTGGTCTAGAACGCCAAGGTGGTGGAGGAAGACGACGTGGCGGCGGCGACGGTCGTCTGGGTAGAGGTGGTCTAGATTTTGGTACAAGAACGGGAGCAGCCGTTACTTCTTGACCATCAATTTGCCCTAAAGTTATATTTGAAAAAATTATCTTTCAAATTTTATAAATTACTTATCTTAAAAACTAATATAAATTAAGATATTTAAAAAAACTAAATGCTGACTCACTAATACAAAAGGACTAATATTTTAAATCTAAACAGTTAGCTACTGATGTATCCATTATGAATGCCCTGACCTGGAATGAGGTTACTCAATAGAAAAGGAACAGGGAAGGATGTCCCCAACACATACAACAAATGATAAATTATGGAGAATGTAATCAAGGTTTAGACTAGATTTTCCAATATGGATGACTAACATCTTACCATATAACCATCTGGCTAAATATTTTCATTAGTCAACATTTTCACCAGCATATTAAAGCTGTAAAGATTTAATATACTGGTGCATCACATCATTAATTTTTTTATTAATAGTTTTCATAGATATGATATGTTTTATAATAAGCTGCTATTCTTTTATATGTTCCTATGCATTTAATGTTAATTTAGATTAAATACAGGGCAGATTCAATAAATAATGTTAGTAGTATTATTAAAGAAAATTAACATAATTTACAATGTTGAGACTAATGAGTATATGATAATCAAGTAAGAGTATACTCTGAGTAACAATATACTGAAAGAGTATATGACGGGTTCAAGTCTACATGGTCCATTGTGTTTGTTTAACTTTCCTTGAACTATTGAACCCACATGGAAGCTTTTGCAGTGACATACACAATTCCATATTGTTCACTCAACTTGCGATGATCTCACTAATTTGTAAGTGTAATGCCTTTGGCTGCCAAAAGCTAAACAACAGCTCACTATTCAATTGTGCACTGCCATTCTGTAAAGTGCATAATTGTTGCAAATTCCAACTGATATGGACTATTGGTAAAGGGCTGCAATACCATACACAGTGCACCAAATAAGTAATGAGATAACTAGCATTACAAACTAAGAACTTTATTTCAATTTCTCAGTTACATGGATTCAAAATAATTCCCTTGCACCTCCACACAACATTTACATCAATCATACGAGTTGTTGAAAGAACGCTGGAAGTACTGATTGTGTACCTCCTTCAGTCTGTTGGTCACAGTACATTTGATGTCTTCAATGTCACTGAAACATTCCCCTTTTAAAGCACATTTAATTTTCAAAAATAGAAAAAGTCTGCAGGTGCCAAATCAAGTGAATAGGGTGGGTATTCGAGCACAACAGATCTGTTTTGATGATAAAAACTGTTTCACAGGTAGTGCGCAGAGAGCTGTGCATTGTCATGCAGAAAAACCCAACTGTTGCTTTGGACGAGATGTGTCCTGACACGACACATGTGAACAAAGAGACGTCGTATGACTCCTAAGTAGTACTGTCCGGTCACTGTCAGTACTGATGTACACATAACAACACAACTTCATCAGTACTAAGTGAAGTACTGATGAAGTCACACTATTCATCTTCTAAGGATTCTCTTTTATTCTTAATGCTGAAAACCAGCGGAACACTTGTGCACAATTAAGACAGTCATCCCTGTAAACAAGTAGCATGTCTTTGTAAACTTCTGATGCTGTTTTTCTTAATTTACAGTAAAATTTTATCACAGCTCTTTGATCCATGATGCTACATTTAACGGCCACTACTTGCACAACGTTACTTTCACAGCTGCTGTGCATGCACTGGTCATCGACATGATCGAAGCGTCTGCATGTTCAGCACAATCTAACCAGTGAAATGGTAACCACATTTGGTGCATTTCTTGAAAGTATTCATGGAAAAAAATCAGTCTCATTACTTATTGGCACACTGTGTATACTCTTTTTATACTATTAGTCTTAACCATGTATGCTATATTATTTTTCTTTAGCACTGTTACTAACATTATTTATTGAACAATTGAATAATTATTGAACATTTTTTATTAAAATTTTTCCAAAATGAATTTAAGATATACAAAAAAGTGAATTTTAAAATACGAACTATAAACAGTGTATACTCTTTTTATACTATTAGTCTTAACCATGTATGCTATATTATTTTTCTTTAGCACTGTTACTAACATTATATACTGAACAATTGAATAATTATTAGAAATAGGTGTAAAAAATTTTTCCAAAATGAATTTAAGATATACAAAAAAGTGAATTTTAAAATACAAACTATAAACAGTTGAAATTATTATTGTGCAAATGTGATAAAATTAGAATTTAATAAGCAATATTAAACGATAATTACTTAATATGTAATTATATACACGAACTGAATTAGCATATTTATGTTACGCAAGTATTTTCAATTAGTTGTTTTTCTAAGATAATATTTCATTTTTTAAAAACGGAATATTAGTTATTCATATTCAATTTTATTATTCTTATATCACTTTTTCTCCAAAAGCTTTATCCAAATTACTCTTACTCTAATGTTACGCATTTTTTGATGACTAAACAATATATAACAGTAGAAATGCATTCTATTTTATTTCGTTTATTGTAATTTAATGCATTCAATATTCAGAATTAAATTCTTAATCGGAAAATTTACGTATTAGATTTAAGAAATATAATTTACAAGTATATTTACTAAAACAGTATACAAGTTTCTCAATATTTTTTCATCGCATTTTACTTAGAAAAATTATTAATCTNATTATTAAAATTATTTTGTAAGTCTTATAGAAATTTATTTAATAGTATTGTATGTGTAAGAATGTAAAAATAATTCTATACCTCCATCCATGTGTTTCATAGCTTTTTCAGCATCATCAGAATTGTCAAATTCAATATAAGCAAAACCTCTTGACAAATGTGTGTGAATGCGATCTGGAGGAATATCAACATTTTTGACAACTCCATAAGTGCTGAATATTTCAAATATATGATCTCGTGTAACGTTTCTTGTTAGGCGACCCACGTGGATCTTTGTCGGGCGAGGCGTAGGGCTTCGCTTTCTTCTTCTGGGAGAAACCGATCTAAATAATAATTTACTTATTAATTATAAATAATTATCATTTAATGTTAATCTTTCATATATTATATCTATAAAATACCCAGATGGCTTTCTTTTATCTCTGACGGTAGTACGTCGACGAGGAGAAACCGAAGACGATCTTGACGACGAAGATGACGAAGAAGAAGAACTGGAACGCGATCGGGCTCGACTTGTAGTGCTGCTAGATGAAGAACTTCCACTCGCGGAACTGCTGCTGCTAGATCCCGACGAAGAACTGGAACGGCTTCGAGATGAACTGCATATTATTATAGTTACATAAGCAGAACAAATTGTATTAAGTCATTAGAAAAAAAGACCACAATCTTCTTTAATCAAATATTCACTTTGCATATTATCTTTAATCTATCATTTATTAATTCTGATTTGGAAGGTTCGTATAAAATATCGATCCTACCAAGCAAATTTCAAAGATATTTGATGATCAACACAGAATGTTTGTTTTTAAAGCCAACCATAATAACTGACGTACATTTGAAAGTATGTTTTACAAAATAATGTGTTTTGTAGTGAATTAATTATTTTTGGTATTTTATCTAAGCTCAATATATATAAAAAGCCAGCTTTGTTTATCTGTAATTCAGTAATATAACACATCAATTTTAGATGAGAAGGCAGTGCACAAAACCATTTAATTTGTCAACTTTAGAATATTAATTAAAAATAGATGAAGTTTCTATTGTTCAATAATATATATCTATGTTTTTTGCCTGAACAAAGTTTGTTCTCAAAACTCTCTTAATTTTTTTAATAGAAATCAGTTTGATATAAAGATTCATAAATGTAAGTAAATAAAATTGTAATGTTTAAAACAAAAATATACATTTTACTTATTCATTTTAATTAAATAAACCAAACCACTTTTCCAAAAAGAAATTTTTACATAAAGCAGTAATGAAAAAAGGTTTTCCAATTTCCTGTATGTTCAGAAAGTATTTGAACACTGTTCTAAATTTACACACTTAATCATTCTAATTTGAATTGAAAAACCCTTTAGCTTTAAGAGGTGCATTTGTATCACTTTTTAAGTGATATTTTACCTGTCTTTTGCTTAAACAATGGCCAATGAATTTATTAATGATATGAGAAAACAAATTATAAAGCTACTACTACAAGATGGAAAAACTATAGAGAAGTTTCAATGTGCATTAGTATGTAATTAAGAACTGTAAATTATACTTGAAAAAAGTTTAAAGATACACGAGAGACAAAGTGGTTGTCCTAAAAACCAGCAAAGCTTAAGCTCATCTACTGAAAAAATATACAGGTAACCCCCATATAACACGAGATTTACGTTCCAAAGAATTGCTGTGTTATGCGAAACAAAGAACTAGTGTGAAAAGGGGGTTAGGTTCCAAAAATTAAAAAACATGCTGTTAAATCCTTATTTAAATCGGATTTATTATTCATTTTTTTAATAGGTAAAATACTTATTTATTATTTAAGTAAATATTTTACCAGAGGATTATTCATCCTATATGATGATCTCAGCATGAGCACCATCAACCTGTAACAGTTTTTGGATATGTTTGTTAATAGTGGTCACTCTGCAACGGGAGTGCGCTGCTGTTTGTAGGCATTTAGGAATGACAGTGAAAGAAAGATGGCGGCGCCCGCAGTAGATAGTATCGTGATGGAGGAATCTATAATTCTAAAATGAGCTTTTAGAGGCAAAAGAAGGGTCTCAATTGTAAAATTTAATTAACCATTAAATGGATTATTGTTGAAAGAGCATTCAAAGTAGACATGAAAACAATTAGAATGCTCGCGTGGAAACACGTACGTGGAAGTATAAAAGAACGCACCCTTTATTACATTTCATGTTGTACAAGGGTTTTATCCAATTCCCGAACTGTGTTACAGTGAACCCGTGCTATAAAACCACCGTGTTATACGGGGGATATTCCCAATTCTTGAATCATGTTAGAGTGAATCCGTGCTATAGAAGTGCTGTGTTATACGGGGGTTATCTGTATTTAAAATAATTGAAAAATATCTTCCAAATAATTAACTACAGAATGGAAGAAAAATAAAGCAAATGTTGGAACGGAACAGAACAGTAAGAAATAGACATGGAATAAATAGCATAGGATTTTTTGTTTTAGCTTTGCAACTGAAAATCTCTTTTAACCAAGAAAAAAACCAAGCAATGAGTTCCATAACTTTTCCAGCTATGAGATTTTATTTAAAAAATAATAGCTGAAAAGATGTGAACATTCTTGCTCCAAATGCCATCTGTTATGAGATTTTGTTATAAAATCTTTTTATATTTTTATTACTATTAAATGACAAAAAGCTTAATTTTGAGGGTAGGGATGAGTTTTATAAAAAAGTGAAAATGTTTATAACAAATATAACCTACATTAAGTCCTACCCCTCTCAAGATATGACACGATATCCCTTTATCTCTTCACCCTCTCAACCTTTAACCACCAAAATTTAATATCATCAATGCCCCTTATACACAAGGTACCATGCCAAATTTTGTTTCTTAATCTTTATCCCATCCTGAGACATTATGCAAAACAGATACCAAAACATACAAAATTTTTTGCTGGTTTTTACTTTTTTGGATTCCGTCTCAAAACATGGAGATTTGCATAACACTGGAAAGGTCAAATCTGACATGATTCCAAAACTTTCCTTTGTTATGTATATAAATAACAGCCAGGAACGTAACAAAAAAAACAAATGCTTAAAATGGTCAAGACAGTACAAAAATTAAACCAGAGAAGACTGTAAAAAGTTATTTTTTTCAGATGAGTCATACATGCATTAGGGGTATGTGATGGTGATGAAGGAAAACTCCCTCGGAGATGTCCAGATGAGAAATTTAAGGAAGACTGTCTGAATACAAATAATAAGTTTCCAACAGGTTCTTTCAGCTATTAGATCTGGAAAAATATATGTATTCTTAATGAGGCTGTAATAGCAGAAGTGTATGAGGAAATTTTAGAATACTTTCCAATATGAACAATCAAAAATCAATTTGGTGATGATAATATTGCTAGTATATGGCTTTATCATCTCAAAAGATGATAAAGCCATATACCAGCAGTCGGCAACATTTCAGCAGTGTTGTGCTAAATGTAAGTTATAGTGTTATTCTGAGTGCAGACATGATTCTACCAAGTTTATTACAGTAATACCTCGACTCACGTGATTTTCAAATCTCGTTGATTCGTCTTTTGTTTGAGCGCCACACAACTCTTGATTACTCACTCCCCCCACACTATTGTTCAACTTATATGTTCAGACGTGTCGCACGTAATCGACACATAGCTATAATTTATTTTGTGTTATTTATTTCTGTGTTAGTTATATCTACGGAGACTCGAGAGACTATGTGGTGATTTCTTGTAACCGTGAACGAATCAAAAGATGAGATAAGATTAACGAGAACATTTATTAGCTTACATACATCCAACTTGGATTTTACACAAATTGCGAAATTATACCCCGACTTACGCGGTTATCGCTCGGTCCCACTTATTGTGTAAGTTCGTGGTATAACTGTATATATGTTATCAAAATTAGTCTGGTTATAACAGACTTCAAAAATGTAAATTTTGAAGTTAAGTTGTTAATTGAATTATGTTCTCACATATGAAATGTTTGCATAACATGTAGATGGCAACATGGAGCTAAAATGCATGCGCTGTAATAAAAATATGCAAACAAGAAATTCGTTTTTAATGTACCATGGCCTTCATTGAACTATGACTTCCATTTAAATGTGTAATTAATAATAAAACTACAATTTTTACTACATTTCTATTCAATTAGAGTGCCACTGAAAACTGTCCCACATGCCTCATTTGGCACGCATGCCATAAGTTGCCGACCCCTGCCATATACCATTGAGCCATACAAAGTGAAGAATTTTTAAGTCTAAGAGTCTGTAAATAACCCAGATTTAAACCCTATTTAAAATTTATGGGCAAAGCTGAAAATGCTGGTTGATGAAAGGATGCCAACTAATAAAGATGAACTTAAAGAAACCATTAAAATTAGCAGGAATAAAATAACTTCAGAAACCCTCAACAAATTAATTTTGACAGTGCCAAAATGCATAAAAACAGTAATAAGATCAATGGAAAGACCAACAAAATACTAAATTCTATTACTTTAATTGTGGTCTTTTTATTATCATCATTGTTCAAATACTATTTTCCAATACCACTTTATGTATAAATTCTTTTTGGGAAAATGGTTTGGTTTATTCATTTGAAATTAGTGATAAACACTTAATAAACCAATGAGTAAAATGTATATTTTTGTTTCAAACATTACATTTTTTATTTTCTTGTAAAATGAGCCCAGACTAAACAATTCTTGCTCAGTCAATGTGCCTTAAAATAAACACCGATAAAGAAAATTCTTGCATTAAAATGAATTTTGCCATTGTTCCCAGCAAAACACCATTGTCACAATGTTAATTTTCATGCAATAAAGCAAACAAAAATTTTATCATTATTCAGGAAACCAAATTATAAATTACCTTCACAACTTCCAAGAAATAACCCTATTTCAAATAATGATTTTATTTATTCATGTCAAGAAGTTAAAAAATCAAAATCATACTGGAATAAATGTTCTATTTTAAGTAGAATAATTTTCTTCTAGTAGGCAAAGATGGATTTGACCTCCAATTGTACAGCAATTCAAACATCTGGTTTCAGCAAACTATTCTATTGTATTAAGAAAATAGAGGTTAAAGTTTAAGAATGCTCACCCCTTTAAATGGATGTGGTCTCATACAAATGCATGCTAGTTTGGATATCAGGGTGCATATAGTGATGCCAGATTTGATGACTTTTTGCCAAATTTGGCTTCTTTTACTCTTTTTGTGCTAAAAAACATTTTCTACTTCTCAATCTTCAACAGAAAAAACTCAGATTTCTTTTAGCTTTGTTTTCTTAAATCACTCTGATATACTGCTACACAACAACACAAACAACCACTCATAATTAGAAAATTAAGTCTTGTTTAAATACTGGCCGATAAATACCTTTAATGGTCGAGCCATGTTGCCAGCTAAAACACGCAAAAATTTAACAAAAATAATATTAAAGTAGCCAAGACATAGCCAAATATTGTAGTGCCACATCACTAGTAGACATTTGAATTTGCCGACTAGAATGGTCGGTTAATCGGAGGTTGGATAATTGATGCTCTACTGTACATAAATCATAAAAGCTTGATCTTGACCCTGAAAATTGTTAATACAAATCATGGATAAAGCAAACTAACTACCATTCCCCTAGCGACTTGTATTAACAAGAGTTTACTGTATTATGTTCAAATACATTTTGCCGGGGTTGTATTTAAGTTTTCTAATGTTACTTAAACAAAACTATTCAAACTTTTTTCTCATTTTGTTCATAAATTTGCTATTGGTTCTTCTTTTACATAAAAAAAAAATCAACATAATAATTTATGTAATTTTAAATTTGACGACATAGAAATTTTAAAAATTTGAAGCATCGATCTCAAGTGATTCAGAATTTTATATATTAATTGATTTCAAAATATTGTTAAATTCTAATGGCCTTAAACGTTATTATTAATGAAATTCAAATCCTCAAATCATCTTTTTATTTTTGTTAAATAATGGCTTTTGTTTTTGTTTCACTTAAAATTGGCAGACTGATTGTTATTTTTGAGAACAAAAAATGCTCAATAAAACAGTTGTAATATTACAATTATCTATGTGGTGAGCTGTAACCTACTAATAATAAGTCACACTTTCCGCACTATTTCCAGCAAAACAGTTTAATGAAAATTTAACAAAATGGACACTTTTTGGCTACATTAAATGGTTTGCTACAGGTTTTAACAATCTGAAATCAAACATGTAAATGAAATACAAATTTGGAACATTGCAAATGTTATTATGACCTCATTACTTTCAAAGTACAGTGATCTCTCACTTATACATCTCTCATTTAAGAAACTCTCTCAGTTCTATACCCCTACAAATGTTTCAGACTAATGCATTTTTCCCTCCCTTTACAGTTGTTATTGTCAATCATAAGAACAGTGTGTGGGTCAATTTGCTATAGGTCAAACAGGTGCCCAGGAAGATAAGAAAGCAGTACTGATAATCCTCTCTGCTTTTATATCTGTTTTTAGAAAAAAAAATGGCTATTGGCTACATGTTTAGATAAAACAAGTGGTAATGTTATAACTCTTAGGGACCATTGTCCAGACTCTTGTTGCATTCCCCTGAAGCTGTTGCCAAGCACGTATTGACTAATATCTTTGGTATGAATTTTGTGTCAGGCCATGATTATTTACATGCATATTTTTCACATTTTAACAAAATGACCCTCCTTGATATGTATTCCATCTAACTATGTCAAAGTAATCTTCAGATGGCTAATGAAATTTTCAAAATCCACATACTTCCAGTTTCTGCCCCGTGGAGATTTTAACATGAAGAAAAATACAGTATTATAATTTGAGCCCAAGAGGCCCACTTTTGCAGCAAAACTTAGATATGTACATTAATTTTGGGGTAACGTAGGTAGCAACATTGCCAGATTTAACTTTGTATTTTGAATTTAAAAGAAATAATGCTTTTAACTGGGGTAATCAATACTGAAAGAGTTACAGTTGTATTTTTAACATTTTTCATTCAAGTTGGTCAATCTCTCTTTTCTATTACCCTCTCACATATATGACTTATTATTGGTCCCTTTAGTCATATAACGGAAAGGTCACTATATATTTTCTACCTTAATCTGTATAGAGAAATTGACATTGCAATAATATATCTAATACCACTTCCAATTACATATGAATAAAACTATATTCTATCCATATATAGTCAGGAGTGATATTAAATATATATTTTGGGTTAATAGCATAAACACAGATTGCTTGCTGTTATATATAATTGTTGAATGTTACTTTACTCTATTTTCTTTATTTATTTCATCCACTTATATTAAAAGCTTAAATAAATATAAAAACCCAAAGCAGGCCATTTAATTTAGCCAAAAATGTTTGTTTTCTGAAATTTTTATCAAACTGTTTTGCTGGAAATATTGTGAAAGTGTGACTTATTATTATTAGTTGTAATATTGTTGTTGTCGAAACCGTGTTGTATTTATGTATTGTATACTGGCACAATGAAGTGACTTTTCTTCAACACTAGGCAAGTTTCAATCTTTATTCAGTTAGAACGTTTTGCTATACATCTACGTTTCGGGCATTTGCCCCTCTTCAGCCAACTCACTTCGATACAAACACCAAATATACAGTAGAACACCAGACGACCCATAGGTTTACATAACGTTTCCACCATAAATTCCATTTTATTTTTACAATAACATAATTTGTTATCTTAATTTTTACTAAAGTCGTACTATTCTTATCCGTTCTTTCAATCGTATCTCATAAGCCTTTCCTGTCACACCGTCAACTAGTTAGACGATTTGCATATATTACGATGTGCCGTGATTTGATGAGCTAACAGGTCAATCAATAAACATTTGTAAGCTTGGAGGAAAATATAAAAACTATTTTTTCAATAGTTTTTATATTTTCCTCCAAGCTTACAAATGTTTATTGATTGACCTGTTAGCTCATCAAATCACGGCACATCGTAATATATGCAAATCGTCTAACTAGTTGACGGTGTGACAGGAAAGGCTTATGAGATACGNTTAATATTAATAAGAGATGGCGCCTAACGCTTACCTCTAGTACCAAATTGATTACGTAATTTATTTAATAATTAGCATAAAACTAGCCCAATAGATTTTCGGCAGTCAGTTGGTTGTAGCTATGTTATATATCGGGTTGGAGATGTTTGTACATAAGAGTTAGGTTCCAAAAGTTAAAACAATATACTATTCTTTTTCATTACTAATAAAAATATGTTTATGAAAGCAATCGATAATTAACTAACAATCACGATTAAAAGTACTGTATTACGCATTAATATTAATTTTAGTTAAATGAGGGTGTTTTCTTTTAACAAAGTATTATTGCCATCTGAACTTTTTTTGTCAATCATGATCAGAAATATCAGCATAATCATAATTTTTTAGGTTTATCATAAAAATTTTTTATGGACGATAAAATAAAAATAGGTTATTAATGGAAAATGTGTTCTAGCAAGTTGCATTTGTTCAGTCAAGTACCAAGTGATTTTTTTTCAAGAATTTGTGTTTGAACTGAATTGTTCGAGTACCAGTGTATTTCATTTGTCATTTTTATGAATGATTATTTACCTATAGTTAAAAAAAAACGCTTAACACTTACCTAAAAATGTTTAAATAAACTTTACTAAATGTGAATATTAATCTATAAAAACAAAACGCAGTGACAGCCTTAAAGACTAAAGTCTAAAAGCAATGACAATGACACCTGGTTGACGGTGCAATTTTTTCTTGCTTGTCCTACTTTTCCTATCAATTTTCATTAAAGTAAACCTAACAAAGGACACAAATTGAGAATTTCAATATTCTAAAAAACTGTGGGCAAATTTCAGACAAACACATGCTTACTTGAATAAATAAAAAAAAAAAAAATACAGAATAATGGAGTTTGCACTTAAAACTGTGAAATATTGTACGGAGGATTTGTTACAATACGAACTGTTAGAGTGAAATCATGTTGTAAAAATGCCATGTTGTATGAAGGATACCAGTATTTAAGAAGAAATTTTGTAGACAAAGTTTTCATAAGGAAATATCTAAATTAACTTGCAACATCTATAAAAGTGAAGATTTCTCCAAAATAAAGCTATTTATCAAGTCATGAGAAACATATTTAAAATTTTTACCTTCCACTACTGCTTCCAGTAGAACTAGATGATACACTTCTTTTCTTTCTTTCTCTTGTTCTTCCACGCTCCTTCTTTACAGTTACATCATCATCTTTTCTAGTCGAATTTCGACTCTGAACCCTAAATAATGCATGACATTCAATATTCACTTTAGGATTTGAAATTCTTTATTAAAGATAAGCATAAATCTACTGAAGGGAACTAATCACACAGGGAACACAGTGAAAATCATAGAACACCCTCCACATGGTTGCAAGATAGTCAATCTCCTTATAATTAACCACTGTACAACTTTTAAGGACCTTGAATAATTCTAATTGTTCAAGATATTTCCTACTGTTTTTTTTTCCAGTTTCAGAAATGATATAAACCTATTAAAGGAGCTGCATGCCGAGGATCTTGACTATCCTTCCACATAATCACAGGGTAAACTGTCTGTGTAAATATATTGAGTGCTTGAACATGAGGATTAAGGAGCATCAATATACAATTCAAAAGAGACTCTCCAAAACTTCACTAGCTACTTTCACCAATGATAATGACAATCAGGTTAAATTTGATAATGCTCACTTATTACACCACGGTGAAGACCCAGCCAGTTTGAAATATCTTAAACAATTAGAAATATTCTGAATCGTTAAAAGGGATATGGCACTTAATTATAAGATGGCCTCTCTTGCAACCACATGGAGATTGTTCTATGACCTGGCAGAAGTCTCAAATTAAGATGTATATTTTGTAAAATTCTTTTATTTTTAAGTGATTACTTAACATATTATCCAAATTAAAGCACTATGTTAAACACTACATTAGACGTGTGTATTTTGCAATGTTCACAACTTTTAAATTTTTGTTCTCTTTAAAAAAAAAAAAAAAAAAACATTTATTTATACCTGAGGATGACTGTTTAAAATAAAATAAAATGGTTGTTTTCATTTTATTTCATTTATTTTTTGCTGGTTTATTGGTACAGTCAAACATATCTATTTCAAATCTGTTCGTCTAGAAAATCTCTATCTCAAAATTTATTTTTTTCCCATGCACTTGCAGCATAAATTCAATATATTTCTCATGTTTATCTCAAATAATTTTCTCCCAAAACCTTTATATCTTGACTTATGGACTGAAATGTCAATGACAAATTCAAAGCCTGGTGACTAAATTTTGATATCAAGCAGTGTAGTTGAGAAACATCTCTCACAATACAGTACATAGCAAATTCAAACTGCTTTTCTCTGATTGGTGAAGAGTTTGACTTGTGCCTTATTAGTTATTATTCTAGGTGATGTGTTATAACAGATTTTAACAAACCTTCCTTGATCAATAATTTTTTTTGGCATGATTTAAGTTTGTGATTGCAACATTGAGAGAAGCAAATGGCTGGTGTGAGAAAAAAGTTGATTGTCCTTTCAATTGAAAAAATAAAAATCTGAACATTTTTGGACAAGATCTTCAGGATGAGAAAGAATGAAGTTGCGACCAAGTTTGGTATTCCATCAAGTACTCTTTCAATGATGATAAAGAACAGAGATTCAGTAGAAAAGACTTTGAAAACAACAACAAAAAAGTGAAAAAGAAATCAAAAATATTCTTTTCCAGAAATAGATAAATGTGTTAGAAAATGGTTTGTGCAATGTTGTGACCAAGAAGTTCCTATTAGCAGAATGATGTTACAAAGGAAAGCTGAGGATTTTGCCAAAAGACTTGGCCATAGTGAATTTAAAGCCAGCAATTGGTGGCTTGAGAGCTTTAGAAGTATACATGACAGCATCTTCAGGAAACTTTGTGGCAAAAGTGCATTTATGCCTCAAAGTGTTTGTGAAGATTGGCTCAAAGAGTTCTCTTCTCTTGATCAAGGCTATAAGCCTGTGGATATGTCATTGCAGATGAAACAGGAATTTTTTTCTAATGTTTACCCAACAGAACAGTTATATTCAAGGGACAAGAGTGCAGAGGTGGGAACAGAGTAAAGTACATGTGACTGCACTCTTCACAGTTAATCAAACTGGAAGTGAAAACTTCTATCACTTGATAATTGGTCATTCTGAAAAGTCCACATATTTCTAAAAGTAAAATTGTTTCCTATAATGTACAAAGAAAGCTTGGATGACAAATGAAATCCTCAGTGACTGGTTGAAAGGAATTGACAAATCTATGGGTTAAAAAAAATTCTTCTTTTCACCAAAAATTACAATGCTCATTCCAACCTCCATGCTCTAAAAAACCTCAATCAAGGGATCATTCAAAGTTTCAAAGTGGAATACAGAAGAGAACTGGTATGAAAACTTCTAGATACCATAAACAATAGCAATACCCTTCCCACTATCAATCTTTTGGATGCTATGAGGATAATAGTCTATGTTTAGAGAAATCTATATATATAACCCATTCAACGGTCCGTCCCGTAACCGTTTGATAACGGACACTAGAGGCGCCCCTATCGTGTGTCATATTTCAAACATTCAAATTAGCAATTTTAATTCTTATTTAAATTAACAATATGAATTATTATTATTCATATGGCAATAAATTATTATTTGGTCAATATAACAATATAAATAATTCAGTATATTTGTAATAGGAATTTATTATTTCAGGGGCTTATATCTCGCGAAGGTCGTGAGTAGGGGTATGGTTCCTTTGCCTTTATTGTTCGCACAGGGGGCTACAGTTTGGGGGGATCGCCACATTTTCACCTAATCTTACCATTGGGACTTTGTAACAGAGCTGTAGAGCATATTGATAGGAACAAAAAAGTCAAAGGAACCGTGCTTCATGAAAATTTGTAAACAATGCCCACTAGGGGCGTCCCGGGCTACTAGTATTACAGAAAAGACAATCAAGAACAGTTTTCTAAAAGCAGTGTTTAGGCAAAGAAACAATGAGGAAAAGAAACAACAACAAAACACTATCGACACAGTGAAAGATGTAGAAAGTAATGAAGTAAATTCGGGAGAATGGATAATCATCAAGAATAGACTTTATCTAGACATTTCATTTGAAGAGTTTTTGGGACATGGACTCTAGTAACATGCAAAATGTTGACAGACACAGAGTGTGGAAAATGAGAGAGGAGTTTCTGATGATGACAATGAACTAGAGCATAGGTTTCCAACCTTTTTTAGCCTACTGCCCCCTTTTCAGAAAAAAAAAAACAAACTCTTGTTCTTGAAATCAATAATGTAACCCATAGTTTTCCAACTTTTTTGGGTCATAGTCCACTTTTTCAAACAGTGATTTGATGATGCTCCTCTTAGGCAAAGTATACTATATTATATATTGAAAAACAAGGATAAATTTTTAATATTAAGTTATTAAAAGATATTAACAATATTGGTGTCTTTCTCAAAGTTTGATTAACAAATATATATTATTAAAAAACTTAATATATTAGAGGAGAAGGTGGTATTATGGAACCCCAATTACATTTTAGTGAATTGTAAACAAGGTATCATAACTACACCCACATTTTTTGTGCGAAAAGTACTGGTAACTAGTAAACTAAATGTTCCTAATTGGATTTTTCGCTAGTGTAATTATAAGTATGGTTTTTGAAGGCTTTTGTACAAAAAGTCCGAAAGTAGGCTTAGAGAAAATCGGGTGGTAATATGGAACCTTACTGTATATTTTCAAAAAAATGCTTTAATGTA